CACACACACACACTCACTCACTCACTCACACACACACTCACTCTCACTCACTCTTCACTCTCACTCACACTCACACTCACACTCACACACACACTCTCACTCACACTGACTCACACACTCACTCACTCACTCACTCACTCACTCACTCACTCACTCACTCACTCACTCACTCACTCACTCACTCACTCACTCACTCACTCACTCACTCACTCACTCACTCACTCACTCACTCACTCACTCACTCACTCACTCACTCACTCACTCACTCACTCACTCACTCACTCACTCACTCACTCACTCACTCACTCACACACTCACTCTCCACTCTCACTCTCCACTCTCACTCACACTCACACTCACACACACTCACACACACTCTCACTCACACTGACTCACACACACACACTCACTCACTCACTCACACACTCTCACTCACACAGAGAAAAATAACGGAACAGCAGCACAGTGGAAGGGCAAACAGTACCTGCTCTTTCCTCACAGGTGTGCTGTGGGCGGCGGCAGGAGGAAGCTGGTTGTCGAGGGGCGGAGCCGCACTGGCCCCCTGCTGCTCTGATTGGCTCTCGGGTTCTGTCGTCATTTCAAATCAAACTGTGATCAGAGCAGAAACAAACACACGTGAAAACCTGCACCAGGCAGAGAATGACAGAATCACACTGAGCAGATCACAACCAACAAACTTCAGCTTTACATGAACAATTCCTTTAAATCACACAACGCAGCATCTCCAGCTGACCTTTGACCTTGATGTCAAACCCTGAACTTGACTTTGTGTAAATATGAATGTGAGAGTAAAAGGATTCTGACTTTAACATTCATAACCATTCACCATGATTCCTGTTTGCTGTGACCGTGACGAATGATGCACGAGATCATGAATATTAAGGTGAGTTTGTCTTTTCTATGTAGGACGGTATCGAGCGTTTATCTGCAGGACTCAGCTGCTTCTGCACATGTTTTGGATCACAGGCATTGTGGGGAAGACGTGAGACGGAGAAGAATGAAGAAGTTGAGATGCACATGAAGCTCAACATATGCATGTTTCATACGAACGGGGGACTGATCCAGATCCAGAGAGCAGAGAGAGATCAAACGAGAGAGAGTGAAAGAATCCCATCAGATGAGGAAGATGAAAGCTCTTCATCACATCAGACAGTGCAAACAGGAAGCCAGCCACTGCGTTTTCTGTCCTTCATTAGAATGCCTCTTTCATTTCTGTAGAGGAGGACAAATATAGATTCTGCCGCTGAGGGACCCGAGCGTGTGTGAGTGTGTGTGCGAGTGAGTGAGTGAGTATGTGTGTGTGTGCGAGTGTGTGCGAGTGAGCGAGTGTGTGTGCGAGTGTGTGAGAGTGAGTGTGTGTGTGTGAGAGAGAGAGAGAGAGAGAGAGAGAGAGAGAGAGAGAGAGAGAGAGAGAGAGAGAGAGAGAGAGAGAGAGAGAGAGAGAGAGAGAGAGAGAGAGAGAGAGAGAGAGAGAGAGAGAGAGAGAGAGAGAGAGAGAGAGAGAGAGAGAGAGAGAGAGAGAGAGAGAGAGAGAGAGAGAGAGAGAGAGAGAGAGAGAGAGAGAGAGAGAGAGAGAGAGAGAGAGAGAGAGAGAGAGAGAGAGAGAGAGAGAGAGAGAGAGAGAGAGAGAGAGAGAGAGAGAGAGAGAGAGAGAGAGAGAGAGAGAGAGAGAGAGAGAGAGAGAGAGAGAGAGAGAGAGAGAGAGAGAGAGAGAGAGAGAGAGAGAGAGAGAGAGAGAGAGAGAGAGAGAGAGAGAGAGAGAGAGAGAGAGAGAGAGAGAGAGAGAGAGAGAGAGAGAGAGAGAGAGAGAGAGAGAGAGAGAGAGAGAGAGAGAGAGAGAGAGAGAGAGAGAGAGAGAGAGAGAGAGAGAGAGAGTGTGTGTGTGTGTGTGAGAGAGAGAGAGAGAGTGTGTGTGTGTGTGATCTGAGCTGGTCCTGCGTGAGCTGAATGAAGAATCAGCGCTCGACTGCTCAAACAGGAAGATGCCACTATATGAGAATCTGAGTCGTCAGAAGGTGGACTAGATCTGTTGGGGGAAAGACTGGTTACTAGGGTGTTCCTATTCAGTTGCTAAGGTGTTCTGAGTGGTTGTTGTGTGGCTCTAAATCTTAACTATTGAAGACGCTCTCTACTTATTCATCTATTGTGACATGTTTCACTGTTTGACATGTTTCATATTGATCACAGCATCATGACTGCAGGAGAATAAATCAAAGAATTAAAAATCACAAACGTGATCACTTTAAAATCCCAAATGTTTCTCAAGACTCAAATGAAGACTCCTGCTGCTTGGATATTTTTCTAGAAGACTCCAGTAATCTCATGTGTTTGCAATCAAAAGCTTGAGATCTCGATATGACTTCATATATTTCTCATTAAAAGTGCGGTATGTAATACTGACAGCTAGTGGTTGAAATGGGTACTGCAGTTCAAACTCATTAAGACTTGATGCTCATGCGGGTTGCCAGATTGAGGACACGAGCCATACACTGTAAACTGATGAGTTCATTTATCTGCGTTTTAATATTCCTCTGCTCAGAGCTCTTTTAGATGGATGCCGAGACTTTTTAGGTCGGGTAGAATCTGCGATCTCTGACCCAGTTTGTTCGCTCGCTGCCATGGCTACTGTACACTTTGTTTTCCACCAACTGGCAACCCGGAGTGTAGAAATCCTATTGGCTGAACTGGCAGTGGGCGGAGTCACACAGACCAAAACAAAAACAAACATTATGACACATTTCAAAGCAGAATAACTGGCTGTAGTGTTGTTTTTCAGAGAAACAAGTATGTGAACTTAGCATGTTTCCAAATATCTGCAAACATTAAGGTATTTTTATGCTTTAGTATGGTCAAAAAATTATATACAACCGCTTTAAATGACCTGAACTGCTCCTCATTCATTTTTAGCTCTGGACTCTTACTGGATGAATCAGTGACTCGCGTCTCTCGTCACAACACATCTCTACAGCACGAGACGGTCATATTACAAAAGGCCAAACTCATGCTGATATCGGTTCCACATGAGCTTTCAGCCTGCATCTGAGAGCGGGAAACACTGTGAGATCAAATCTGTTACTAATGACTGAGTCACGGCCATAATTAGAGCACACAGGACGAATCGACTGAAAGGTTGCTATGACATCTACATTCTAGAGACATTTAGAGATTTAGAGAAATTCCACAATTCTCAATACCACAGCAGAATACTAGGGCAACTAATATTAGTGGGGGAAAAAAGTCAATTATTAAAAATAATTAAACAATCAGTAATAAAAACATAAATAAAAAAAGCAAAGGACAAATACTATAGAAAAAAGATGCCTATTACAGAAATGTAATAATTGAATGTAAAATAAAACAGCATAGTCTTCACTGTAAGAATTAAACTTGCTTTGTTTCTTATTAATGCTACAAAAGTCCTTCAGTCAAGAGCAGTGAGTAATTTTGTTGTTTGATTAATATTAATTAATGACACTTTATCAGAGATTCTCAAACAAAGAGCAAATATTTATTGAGATTTTAAGTTAATATTTCAAGAATTTAACAACACATTCACGTTCGCATTTTGCGGTCACATGACATGCAGCTAAACAATTAAAACATCAACATTTTTTTTGTAAGTGTTTTATTTTGATTCGTTTTTATTTTTACATTATTTATTTTAAAAATACTTAAATTTTTTAATTTTTATGATTTAATTAAACTTAAGCAAGTGTTTTATTTCGATTTTGTTCTTTTTAAATTATCTATTTTAATTTTACATTTTTATGATTTCATGATTTTTATGAAACCCTGACCTAACACAACATTACACAATGAAACCCACACAGAACTGCAATTAAAAATACAATATTTCATATTTTGTAGTTCTACCATAAAAACACACTGTAGAAAATCCTGGCACATGTTCAGTATCCTGATATATAAACATGCTAAACAAAGAGATTGTAGAACACAATTGTAGTTGTGTGAATGACTTGGTCTGAGGATCTGGTTTAGATCTGGTCTGTGAGTCCTTGAGACGGTCTGCTCTGTGTCTTTGTCTCTCTGCAGAGGACACGCAGACGGCTCTCAGCCAATCAGCTGCTCCGAAACAGCCGTGTGACATGAGCTTCCTGCACATCCGTACACAGCTGAGAGCGACGAGCAGCCGCTTACAATCACACATCAGCGTCACCTGAGCTCTCTTTCCTCTGATCTAGAACTCAACCAGCAGAACACAGGCGGAGCAATCAAACCCCCCGCTGCATTATTCATGAGCCCAGCAGCCCCGCCCACAGCTGAACAAGCATTCATGAGCTGACAGGAAAAGACTCCATTTATTACCGTGTTCTAGGGCTGGGCGGTATATCGAGTTTGTACGATATATCGATATTTTCTTTATAAGCGATTCGATATGAGGCAATACGGTTTATATGGATATACAGTAGTTTGATACGAGCGCATCTGAAAATATAGCGGAGGACACAGACTGAGCTGCTGCGGAGAAAGTGCATAATCCAGTTTGTTCTAAACATGTCACAAGCTTCATATCAAGGCCTTTAAAAACTGGTAAGACTTAGTTTTTAGTTTGGTTTGGTATATTAGTTTAAGCGGCTCTGACTGGGGATTCTCCGGGATTCTCCGCTAAACTCCACAGACTTCAGTGAACGAGCGCCAAACAGACGGATCTCAATAAAATAGGAGCGCAGCAATTCTGACTAAAATATAAATTTCGCTGAAATATTTGTAGTTGGACAATAAATGTGACATGTAGTGTTTTAACCCTACAAGTAAGTGTATTTTTATGATAGCACTGACTGTAAAGTGACTGTAATGAAGTAATCAAAATAGCCTAACACCACTTTAACTCCGCTTTAAAAGCCTTAATAAGTTTTTAGATTGCAGTGTTAGAATGAGATGTGATTTTAACCCTTTTTTGCACATAATATAAAGGCTTACATGGTTACATTCACTTTATTTGTTTTCATAGCCTTTAATATGTATTGTTTTGTTGGACAACATTGGGTGGTAAGTGAAATATTAAACACAGATTTTTTTAATCCAAACACAAAATCAAAAATACCGAGATAAATACCGTATATCGCAAATTGGCCAAAAAATATCGAGATATTAATTTTTGCCCATATTGCCCATCCCATGTTGACAAATGTGTGAATGAAGCTCAAACCTGCCTGATATAAACAGACAGAAACACACGAAACCACTGAGACACGTCACTGATGCTCATAAATAACAATTACACCACACATTCTCTACAGATCTGTGTTTAAATAAGAAAAAACATTTTTCAAGATTGTGTTCGGAGACAATCTTGTAACTCAAATCAAAACACAAGGATCTCACAAAACCAGTCAAACACAATATGAAATAAATTTAAATATTCCACCTTAATATTCAACAGAAAAATATCATTTTTTGTTTGTCTCTGTATTTTTATGGCAGTTAAGCAAAACCAATACTCATTACTGTTATGCAAATAAATATTATTTACATTATTTATAAAGTTAAATATTTATACATTATAGCAGTATTTGTTGTATGGCTTTTAATTAATGCAAATAAAAAAAAAATTGTATTACAGAAATTAGAGCATAATGTTTGGAAGCCCATTTCTGCCACGTAATAAAAAAATAAAATAAAAGGTTATTGTTACATTTTATCTCAAAATTCCGTTTTTTTCCCCTGCCATTGAATCAAAAAAGAAAAAGGTAATTGCAACTAATTTGGACTTTTCTTCTGAGAATTGCAAGTTTATCTCGCAATCCTGAGTTTGCAAGGATAAAAGTCAGAAATGTGAGATAAAAAGTAAAAATTACCTTTCTTATGTTTTATTCTGTGGTGGAAATGGGCTTCCATAATAATGTGAATGATCACTGAGAATAATGAAATAAAACGTCTAGATGCATTACAGTAACGAGAATGAGATTTTTTTCAGTCAAACTAATGTAATTGTAATGAAAATAATGCAAAGATATGAACAGGATTAAAATAGGATGAAAACAGGATTAATTTTCCTTATGAAAAATGTCATTTCTTGTTTTTATTTTGATTTTGAGGTGAAATATGTGAGGTAATTCACCATAATATACCGTATAATGGCCTTTTGCTCCCACAGACGTTTCTCAACACAGAGCCTTTAGAAAGGAACAATAACAGAGCGATCAACCAGAACAAGAATAATCACATAATCTAGGCCGAGTTTCAATCCCTGAGCGAATTACAGTCAGAAATAGACGCCGTTCTTTAGTCTGATCTCACGAGATGCTGCTAAACGAAGGCCAGACAAACATTTCCACAGTGTCACTGCAAGACTGTGCTGATGAACGGACTCGAGCACATCAGCATCAGCTTCAGAATCAGCATCAGCATCAGCATCAGCTTCAGAATCAGCATCAGCTTCAGAATCAGCTTCAGCATCAGTTTCAGATTCAGCATCAGCTTCAGCATCAGCTTCAGCATCAGCTTCAGAATCAGCTTCAGCATCAGCATCAGCTTCAGAATCAGCATCAGCTTCAGAATCAGATTCAGCATCAGAATCAGCATCAGCTTCAGCATCAGCATCAGCTTCAGAATCAGCATCAGCTTCAGCTTCAGCGTCAGCTTCAGCATCAGCTTCAGATTCAGCATCAGCTTCAGAATCAGCATCAGCTTCAGCATCAGCTTCAGAATCAGCTTCAGCATCAGCATCAGCTTCAGAATCAGCATCAGCTTCAGAATCAGATTCAGCATCAGCTTCAGAATCAGCATCAGCTTCAGCATCAGCATCAGCTTCAGCATCAGCTTCAGAATCAGCTTCAGCTTCAGCTTCAGCATCAGCTTCAGAATCAGCATCAGCTTCAGCATCAGCATCAGCTTCAGCATCAACTTTAGAATCAGCTTCAGCATCAGAATCAGCATCAGCTTCAGAATCAGCATCAGAATCCGCTTCAGAATCAGCATCAGCTTCAGCATCAGCTTCAGAATCAGCATCAGCTTCAGCATCAGCATCAGCATCAGATTCAGCATCAGCTTCAGCATCAGATTCAGCATCAGCTTCAGCATCAACTTCAGCATCAGATTGAGCATCAGCATCAGCTTCAGCATCAGATTGAGCATCAGCTTCAGCTTCAGCATCAGATTGAGCATCAGCATCAGCTTCAGCATCAGAGTCAGCATCAGCTTCAGCATCAGATTCAGCATCAGCTTCAGCATCAGATTCAGCATCAGATTCAGCATCAGTTTCAGCATCAGATTGAGCATCAGCATCAGTTTCAGCATCAGATTGAGCATCAGCTTCAGCTTCAAGCATCAGATTGAGCATCAGCTTCAGCTTCAGCATCAGATTGAGCATCAGCTTCAGCTTCAGCATCAGATTCAGCATCAGCTTCAGCATCAGATTCAGCATCAGATTCAGCATCAGTTTCAGCATCAGATTGAGCATCAGCATCAGTTTCAGCATCAGATTGAGCATCAGCTTCAGCTTCAGCATCAGATTGAGCATCAGCATCAGCTTCAGCATCAGATTGAGCATCAGCTTCAGCTTCAGCATCAGATTGAGCATCAGCATCAGCTTCAGCATCAGATTGAGCATCAGCTTCAGCTTCAGCATCAGATTGAGCATCAGCATCAGCTTCAGCATCAGATTGAGCATCAGCTTCAGCTTCAGCATCAGATTGAGCATCAGCATCAGCTTCAGCATCAGAGTCAGCATCAGCTTCAGCATCAGATTCAGCATCAGCTTCAGCATCAGATTCAGCATCAGATTCAGCATCAGTTTCAGCATCAGATTGAGCATCAGCATCAGTTTCAGCATCAGATTGAGCATCAGCTTCAGCTTCAGCATCAGATTGAGCATCAGCTTCAGCTTCAGCATCAGATTCAGCATCAGCATCAGATTCAGCATCAGGGAGTCGCAGTGAAGCTGCTGCTGCTGTCCATGGTGCTGCAGCACATCAAACACAAACACAGTCCGTCCTCACCGGACAAACCTCTGACTCTGCCATGAACACCTTTATGCTCCTGTTGTTTATGGAGAGAACAGCTAAAGGTCAAGAGCTTCATAAAGTCACACTGCAGAACTGAATACTAATGTTAAATCACATGAACTTCAGCTTCAGCATCAGCTTCAGCATCAGCATCAGATTCAGCATCAGTTTCAGCATCAGATTGAGCATCAGCTTCAGCTTCAGCATCAGCTTCAGCATCAGAGTCA